TGAAAAAGTAAATAAAATAAAATAAATTGTTAGAAGGGCTAATGATCACCTGGTGCCGGTAATTCCAGTAGCCACTGGACCCAGCAAGCAGGACAGCCCATCTGGTCCCTATAGAATCTTCATCGGCACCGGAAATTTCAAGAGCTTCCGATGGCAGTTTAATTATATTCCGACCATCGGAGATAGACGCGATCGAGAGTACGACGAGTAAAAGTACACCGGCGGCGTAACTCATCATGATCTTCACAGGCGACGATGAATTTTTTTTAATAAAAATATTTTTGGTGGAAAAAGAATGACGAGTTGTCGATTTATATATAGACAAAACGTAGCAAAGGGGTTTGATGCTGGGAGGGATCTCCTACGTTGGGGATATGTGCAATTCATTCCAATTAGATTCTGTTAACGAAATTTCTTGGATTGGTCCTGATCGTATTGTCTCGGTAGCAAGTTGATCCCAACATTTTATTTTGAATCATTTTATTTGAAGCCATATAAATTAATGATCGGTGTAACTGAAAATCATAAAAAAAAATTACGATTTTAAAATTGAATTGAATTTTGGTTCAGGTAGAAGAATCGTTTGGTTTTTTTATCTTGAGAACTATAATCAATTAAATTTTAACAAGAATTTTGAATAAAATTGCTCGACTATATTAAGAATCAATTGTCCAAAAGAAGGGAAGATATTTCAAAGTTGAGGATTAACTTGCTCCTATAAAATGTATAGGGATTGTACATTTTTTCCTTTTATTAGGCTGTCCTCGAATGATATTTCCTCTATCAACAAAGTCCTTATAAATTCATAAATTATTAAGGAGGACTAAATTTTAAAGGAATTAATTTAAATTCATTAAAGTCTCAGTTGGGAACATGTAAATTTAAAATAAAAAAAAATTTAGAAATTATCAAAGAGATTGTTATGTGTATATTTTTAAGCTATCCATATGAATCATTTAAAATTTGCCATAATTTAAAATATTTTTAAAGGATTTCATGAGCTATTGAGGATATATGTATTTTTAAAGGATCTCATTAAAATTTCTTAAAATATTAGTTGGACACATAAATTTTAATGAATTGGAATGTCTGAATTTGAAGGACATTGTCAGCAAGTACAAAACTTCCATTGGTCATATGCAGGAATTGGCAGTACAGGATTTGAGCTCGTGGATGGATTTTTTTTTTCTGATGTGACGTGTACGGTGGAGATTGGATACTCGTATTGGTTGCTTTTCTATGTGGGCCATATTGCTGTTTGGGTATTGACCCCGGAGACAGCGAGCGATTATTAAACCATTATAATCATTTTCTTTTCTTTTAATAAAATAATATTACAC